CCCAGAGCGGGACCCTGTCCCGGGCCCTGCTCCCCTGCTCCCCTGCTGACACAGCACAGGGGCCAGAGTGACGAGGGTCACAGGCAGATCCACACACCGCACGGACCTGCAGACTCTCTCACCCCAAGGGGCTGTTTTGGTTCAGCAGCTCCTGTGGCTCGAAGAAGTTAATCACTGATGGCAAGAGATTAATTTGTAACTGGACAGCAGACAAGATAGTGCAGGCTTCGGTGGGGTGGTGCTGAACTGTGGCACGGGGCACTGCTCAGAGGACGCCTGGGTCTGCAGCTGGGTGCAGAGGCCGAGAACTTCAGGTCCACGTTGGTTCCTAGAGGCCACCCGGTCCAAAGAGAGGGAAACCGTGCTGAGGACTCTCCCTTCCTCTCCGCAGCATATTCGCTGGTCTTAGAAAACCTGTCCAGGCAACAGCTGGGCTCATGAGAAAAGTCCAGCTTGAAAAGTCCAGTTAAGAGGGAGGATCGCCTGCCAACCTAGCTGGAGCCCCTGGCCAGCAGTGCAGGAGGGGAAGGGAGGAGAGGGGAGGAGCAGGAACAGAGGAATGGAAGGTGGAGAAGGATGGACAGGAGCTGGGGTGAGGGGTGAGCGGTCTTTCCTTCACCAGCTTGTGGACGGTTCCCACTCCAGCCAAGGCAGCTCTCCGAGGATCTGCCCTCCCCTCCACATGCATCCGCTCTGTCATTCCCAACCTTGGACCCCATCCTCCGCCCCCTTCCCCCGCCTCCCATTCTGAGCTCAATAAAGATGAAGTGAAACAACGTGCAGGCCCCTCTGTGCCCTGATCTTTATGCTCTGGACATTGCTTTTAAATGGAGTAAAACGACCCATTCCTGCCACATTGATGAGCATGGCTGGACACCCTGGCTGTGGCTGCTCCTACAATTTTGCCAGCGTGAGCACCTCTTCCTTCCATCCAGGACAGTTTGGAATTCTTAAATCACGCCTATTTATCAAGGCCCTGTGTATGCGAGCAGGCAGCCCCCAGCAAGGAGGAACAGGTCTTCCCTCTGCTTACAAATCCATCTCCCAGAGACTCATGGCAAGAGCAGAGAGCAGAAAAGCAGAAGTGAAGGCTGGGTTGTGGGTGGGTCTTGGAGACCATCTGGGTGTCTGGAGCGGCGGGACTGCCCTGATGGCACTGGGCTCAGAAGGCTATTCGTGAGGTCACAGTTTCATTAGAGAAAGAGAGAGAGGTAAATGGAAACCAAAATAGGAATGAGGCCTGCATTGCAAATGGGGGTGTAGAGGGACTCCTCTGTGGATTGCTGAAATGTGGGTTTCCTGCCCCGAAGAGTTCTGGAAGCCCAGTTGAATGGTGGATGACTTGTGCTTGATTTACTACCAGGGGCTCGGTTGTTGTCATTTTGGTTCAGTCCCACTGCCCTGTTCCACAATGTACCCCATGTGTTGTCCTGTCTCTCATTTTTTGTTCATTTGACCCAGAATGCCCTTCTTTCCTTTCTTCACATCACACTACCATCGAGACCTGGCTGAGGCGTCATTTCCACCAGAAGGCCTCCCAGGAGACTTCAGGTTGGACCTCAGGCTCCCTCTGTTTAGTGTCTAAGGTTCCTATATCTATTGCAACAGTATGTGTGGGTTCGCAGTCCTGATGGGTGGTTTAGCATCACTCGGAAAACCTTGTAAACATACGAATCCCAAGTCTCCTCGGGCGAATTGGGAAGCTGTATTTTCACTAGTGTGTTTTGTCAGGCCCAGGAAGGGATGCAGAAGTGCAAGACCCATGCCCTTTCATTTACACCATTTCCATCCATTCATAGCTCCTGCTTTGTGGCCCAGACGCTGTGCTGGGGATATAAGAGCAAAACCCAATATAGTACCCCCTCAGACAGCCTACAGTCCCGCAGGGGAGGTGGACGGGAATCAAATGACCTACACACATATTCTTGCAAAGTGCAACATGACAGTTATCAAGGAAAAGCAGAGCTGCTTTGAGAACCCATAACAGGGAAGGGTAAGGCTGGGAGGTCAGGGAAGGCCAACCTGAGCCTTAATGGAGAATAGTGAAGGGCAGGGAGAGCAAGGAGCAGTCCCTTACTGGGTTCTTCTCAAACCGAGCAGTCTTGGAAGCCAGCTGGGAGCCATTGGGGGCATAAGCCCCTCCCGACACCCAGATGGTCTCCAAGAGCAGCTTCTCCTCCCCCCCCCCCCCAGAACCCAGCCTTCACTTCACCCAGATGGTCTCCAAGAGCAGCTTCTCCTCACCCCCGCCCCCCCCCAGGACCCAGCCTTCACTTGTGCCTTTCTGCTATCTGCTCTTGCCACCAGCCTTTGGAAGATGATGTGTTTGTAAGCAAAGACCTACTTCTCCTGGCTGGGAGCTGCCTACTAGCATACACAGGGGCATTGCTGAATTACTGAAAGGTATACCTCCCTTTGAACTGACATAATCTCTCCCTGAGCATGTGGCTCAGCTAGTGGAGTGCAGGCTGGATTTAAGCTACCCCTCCGAGCCCCTCCAGCCCCCATAAACCAACACCCTTGTGCAGTGAACAGCTTGGACAACCTTCCGTGGCGGCCCTGCTGCTGTCCCCAGCAGAAAATTCGGGCTTCTTGGCTCTTCCTCATAGCTGAGAGATTTCTTTATTCTATAAGGAGATCATTACATCTTCTATGGGCATAAATCTGTTTGGACATTTAGAAAGGAATTTATATGTATTTTCTGGAGAATTAGGTGTTTCTCTTATCTAAATTAAAAAGAGGATTCTTTTCAATGTGATCCAAGAGAGTTCTTTCATATGGTAATTCACACACCCTCTGGCTGATAAGCCCTAGACTTGGCATAAGGTTCAAAGCAGAGATTGTGTTCAGATGAGGCACAGGGATGCTTTGGGGCTGATTTGCTTTTAGCTGCTGACAGTGGGATACTTCTGGCCTCCAAGTGACTGGCAGAGCCAAGTTGATACCTCACAGGTGCTTTCTTCTGTATCGGAACCTGTTGAAGGCCAACAATGTCCACTATGAAGATGACTGTGTGTTGGGGGAAGCTGAGAAGGGAGCATGTAGGGCTGGAAGACAGTGTCTTGCCAAGGACACTGTGGCCCCTCCTCTTTCACATATGGGAAGCTGCCTTTCCTACTTAAGAGGGTTTAGAGGTCAGCATCAACTACAAAGAGATGACACTAGCTGTAGAGTGGGACTGGGAATGGAAGAAAGGGAAGATGGAAGCTCTTCCATCTCCAGTGGAAGATACTGGAGAATACACAAGTGAGCCACATGCCATATCACTGTTTCACAAACAAGTGCAACAGTTGGTTTGAGGTGGGTGAGAATTGAGTGTCAACGTGACATCCTACCTTGAGTACCATATCTTTCCATAGCTGACATTTGTGAAAACACTTTCAAATGTGATGATGAGCTAGTAGGTGCCTGGCATCTCGTAGGTGGTCAGTACACGGTAGCATCTCTCATGTAGATCCTGCTAAGGAAAGGGGCGGAGAAAGGGAACTATAGATCTGTCTTCTCCTTTAATCCCCTCAACAGTGCTTTCAGGAGATGGGATTCTCCCCTTCTCACAGGTGAGGAAACAGAGAAGATACGTTTCCTGCCTGAAGTCATACAGCTGGATGGTAGTGAAACTTGGCTCTTCTGGTTCCTCGCCGTTTCCACCATGCCACGCTAACTTCTCTTAGCTTCAGCTGACAGTTCCTTGCCTTGCCTCCAGACCCTGCCCTCCCTCCCTAGGAGACATGTATAGACATGACTCCCGAATTCAAGTGCATTTGAGCAGAAGTGTGGCACCTTGTGTATAAGGTCTGACTTTGGGTAACAAGTGTATGGCAGCTCGGGCATTTGAGAATGCTAGCAATGGGAGACCTTCCCCAAAGATGCAAGGTCAGGGAACACTGTGAGACATACTCAGATTTGTTTTGTCATTTTCTTACTCCAATACCACCTTGTTTTCCATAGGCCCAAGCTCCATCAGCACACCAGGACCCTGTTCTGATGCAAATTTAGGAAGTCCACACAGACCTATCCAGCTAAGGCTGCTTCTGCTCAGTTCCTAGGGAGTCTGGGAACCCCCTTTCCTTCTCTTGCCTCCTGGTTACTCTGCTGCTGATGAAGAGGCAGGGGCAGCTTTGAACAAAGACCCTTCATCATTTCTTTTGTGAAACTGTCCTAGAGATTAGGCGACTGTGAGTGTTTCATCAGTTGTCATTTCTCTAGTAAACTTCAATAAGATCCAACTCTAAAAAACAAAATTCAACATTTCTATTTCCTGAGAAGGGTATAGGCAAATATGGACAGACAAGTCCAAAAGGTGAGCTTTTCTAACTCTGAAGGGCACATGTAGCAGTTCTGACCAGGCTGGGAGTGAGGAGACCTACATGTTGGTCCCCATTCCCTCCTGCTGCCTGTGTGATCTTGGGCAAGTTGCTTGACCTCTCTGGGCCTGCATGTTTGCTTAGGACTCTTTCAGTGCAAATATGTTATGGTTGTAAACACAGAGAGATTTCTCTGTATAGTGTTGCATTTCACACATTCACCATGGCCAATGATACTTGATGAGTTTAAATATTTCTCTCGGTTGGAACAGGAACAGCTATTTAAAACAAAGACTTGAGTTCTCTCCAACTGTGGCCCTAAGTTTGTGGGTTTGGTAGGCCAAACCAACTGTAGAGTCCTATGCATTTTACACGGTAAAAACATCTCCCATTTGCTTACAATAAAATCCTGGAAGGGAAGTGGTGTTTCCAAACTCCACTGAGTTGCAGCCTCAGAACTAGAGAGCTGGAACACGTGGTCCAAACTCCTCAGTTTACAATGTGGAGGCCCAGAGTCAAAGAAGGAAGTAACTGAGGACTCCCAGAGAATTTGAGATGGAATGGCAGCTAGAACCTGGTTGCCATGGTCCCCAGTCTAATGCTTGTATTCTTTCTGTACGAATAGAAGCTGATTTGAAGGGCAAAGAATTATAAAAATTATACCATTATCTTAATAACAATATTAGTACATGTAAATACATCCCAAAAGACATTTATTCATATTTTCAGTTTAACACACATCGAAACTCTTCATGTCTTTAAATACCACTACAGACATTCGATTTGCATTTCCTGAAGCCACTCCAGTGAGCAACTCTGAAATAAATGAAAAAACAATGGTCAAGCCTGAATGCACACTGAGGTTTCCATGTGCTCAACTCAGCAGATTCAGGTATGACCCCTGCAGAGCCTGGACTCTGAACTGGCACTAACATTCTCTACGCTCAATGACCATTTCACACAATGAATTCATCTGTGTAATTGTGCTTAGCTGTCCTGAGATTAACTCCATGTTTGCATGAAGATCAAAATGCTTACTTTGAAAAGTTTGGTTTTCTTCCATTTCTGTCTTATCTGGGGAGGTATTCACACTCGGAATTTCCTGGGTTTTTCTTGTTTAAATCTCTTGTAGGGATTGAGAATGTGAGGGCAAGAGTAGGGGGTGGGGTGCCTTACCTTGTATTGTTCTCTTTTGGAAACAACAATAGGCAATCACTCATCACTATTTTGATGTCCTCTTGTCAAAGGCAACCAAGAACATTGGGATCTGAACGTGGGTAACCTATGCATTCTTGCTGGCTCCCACCCCTAGATCCTATGCTGGTTAGAACATAATCTAGAATTTGCTTTATTTTAAAATTTTCTATTGGATTATAATTTACCTACAGTAAAGAGTACACATTTGAAGTGTACATCTTGATACATTTTTAATATATGCATATACTTCTGCTTTTCTTATACCTTCACTTGGCAGGGAAGTTTCTGTTCTGGGTTTTTCCAAGGACTGCTGCGTCTAAGTAGGTAGAGGTCGATATCTGAAGTGCGGGAAGGGTGGTGGTGTGATTCATGTCAGAAGGACTTACTTTCCTCCTAGCCAGTTTGGCTCAGTGGATAGAATGTTGGCCCTCGGACTGAAGGGTCCTGCGTTTGATTCCAGTCAATGGCACATATCTCAGTTGCAGGCTTGATCCCCGGCCCTGGCCAGGGCTCATGTGGGAGGCAAACAATTGATATATCTCTCTCACCTCTATATTTCTCTCTCTGTGATTCTCTCTTCCCTTCCACTCTCTAAAAATCAATGGAAAAATATCCTCGGGTGAGGATTAACAACAACAACAACAATAACAACAAAAAAAGAATGTACTTTCTACCCTTTCACTTCACCTGAACTCTAGGTACAAGTTCTGGGAGAAATTCTGGAAGGCATTCACACTTTCACTCACATGGGGATCTGCAGGAAAAAAGGAGACATGTGAATGGGGTGGGGTGTTTGCACTTAATCATTATCACTGCTGACATCAATGAAAACCACGTCATGTGTATCATGCATGGGCCCCTACAATGAGTGGCAAGGAGGCCAGATTCCCAGGAAGTGCTATGAGAAGTTAGGGGATGGACAGACGACCAAACTGAGAGGGGAAGCAGTGCGGCTTACATTTCAGCTGAATGCGGTGTACTCTTGCATTTTGTGGTTGAGGAGTTCAAATCGCCCAGGCTATTTCAAAACGATGTCAGGAGAGGAGTGGCTGCTTCCCAGGACCCCAGTGAGTGCCCAGGACACAAGGCAGCCTTGAGAACAAATACGTCCCTTCCTGAAATAGGAAGCCAACTATTTACTTATGCAAGTAATGCTATAAAAGGGCTTTACAAGTTGAGTTGCAGCTCCTGAGCTTTGGACTGACCCTGAGATTTGTCTCAAAAGGCTCCTTCCGGAGGAAGGAACGACCTGAGGCCCTCAGGTCGAGCACTGGCTCAAACAGCAATGTAAATCAAGGAGAACCTCCTGCGTCTACAAGCTGACCCAGCCCAGGCAAACACTCTTAAGACAGCTTCGGTACAAAGATGACAATATTATCATTTCAACCTGAACAGGCATCACAGCCTGGTTTCAACATTCATTTTGTAAAGTTTTAAAATAAAATTCACTTTTAAATCCTATGATTCCTCATCTTGATCACTTTCTTGCATACTCTCAACTCTCCCTCTTCACTTCATCATATTCCTTTGGCAAAACCACAACTGGGTTAGATCTAACTTTCCACTTACTTGGTGCCTGACCCTGTGTAGCTGCATAAGGTTCGAGAAAAACGCACAACCATGCTGGTGGCTCACACTTTAAATTCAAAACCTCAACACTAGCCTGTGGATTGAAGGGTCCCAGGTTCGATTCCGGTCAAGGGCACATGCCTGGGTTTCGGGCTCAATCCCCAGTAGGGGGCGTGCAGGAGGCAGCCGATCAATGATTCTCTCTCATCATTGATGTTTCTATCTCTCTCTCCCTCTCTCTTCCTCTCTGAAATCACTAAAAAAATATTTTAAATTCAAAGCCTCAGACCTCACGCAGCTCTTTAATGCTACCAGGCAGTCATACCATGCATCTCTTGTCAACATATATGGGCATATCCCACTCGATCAGTATTTGTTGAATGAATGGATTAAATAAATGAATTTTAATTACGGTTCCATTGATGCTTGCCCAAGTTTGAAAATGAATTTTATCTTTAAAATTTTTTTTTTTGTTGAGATGAGCACTGGCTTTGGACCCAGAGACTCGTATCCAAGTCCCAGCACAGCTGCTTACTAGCTGGGCCATCCTAAGTGAGTCACACTTCCTCTCTGGGACTTCTTGTCTTCTATTAAATGAGGCGGCAGTGCCAGGTACACTGGCAGATGGAGAGTCTCTCCTGGACGTTGGTTGAATGAGTCATATGAGTCCCTCCCTTCTCCTGAAGTTCACAGATCTGTGATTTGTTTTTGTGTGTGTGTGATTCTTTCTTGAGCCAAGCAAGCCCCCAGCTAGGTGTCAATTAGGAGAGAGAAAAATGAGGTTGGACTTGAAGAGAAACACCTGCAGGAGGACCCCTTCTCTTCTTCATTGGTCTCTGATTTTACTTTCTGGTTCCAAAGTAGGCAAAGCTCTCACACTAAAAGCCAAACGGTGACTTTGATTCTGAGCAAACTTCAGGTGGAGTGTAAGAGAGAGGTGGCATTGAACTGGAATTGGGGGACCTAGAATCTAACCCTCCCTCCTCTCAGGCCTCAGTTTCTTCATCTGTATAAAGAGTGAGTTCAAGGTCACTAAGCCTTTACCTGTCCTCCGCCACTTCCCAGCACTGGTAGCCTCTTTTTTTTTTTTTGCCATTTGGAACATGCCTGGCCTGTTTTGGATCAGAACTGGCACAGCATCAGCAAGTTTATGGTTTTACAAGCCCTGGAACATGCTTTGCAAATAAATGACAAAGGCATTAGGAATACTGCATGGAAACAAAGGTGAGACTGTGGAATTGTACAAGGGAAGGAAAGATGCTGGCTATGAAACACCTGTCCTTGAGTTTGAAACCAGCTGGGCAAGTGACCACAGCCTGTGGGAGACCCACAGGCGTTAGGAATACTGCATGGCACTTGCCCCCAGCGTGTGGTATGGTAGGCAGTTTGGGGGCTACATAGGCAAATCATTTTTAAAAATGTCTAATCAGAAAGTAATTTTCAATTACCTTTCAATCTTTCTGATTCATTTAAGGAGTCTTGCTGTGCTGGAATTTGTTAATCTCACAACTTTGGTAATCTGTCCCTTCCTCCCTGACAACAGTCTCCCAGCCCCCACTTTTTATTAAACAGAGAGAAAATAGGGTTTAACTCAGGAGCGTCACCTGTCTAGAATTGGATAATATTGATTTGCTTTACTGCATTTATTTTTTGTGGTTACTTTCCATTGATGAAAAGTGGTATTACTTTTTCCACTTAGAGTAGTTAAAACGTTATCTTAAAATATATGTACTTAAGTTTAAAAAACTGAGTTAGTTTCTATACAAATATTAAGTAATAGTGTATGTTCTACACAGATGTGACAACACAGGGCACATGGTTCCTGGGGTTTGGGAAGCACTGGTGGGTGGATTCCCCAACACAAACTGGCATTGTTCAGAGAGGGGAGGTTTCTCTGGGCACCGCAATAGTACCTGTAACGCTATTTAGATCTACTGGTAACTCGGTTACCAAACTTTTTTTTTCTTTTTAAAACAAATGATTACCTTTTCCTGATCATTATTGTATAAAACTTGGAAATACAGAAAGGCATATAGGACAAGAGGAGAAAATATAGAAAAACATATAGAATAGAAAGAAAATCACTCATTGCTTCTCTACTAAGAAATAACCACTCCTAATACATTGGTAAATTTTTCTTCCTCAGCGCACCAACATAGCTATTATTATAATGTGTATTTTTATTAAGCCCATTTTATTTCTTTAACATTACAGCCTAAGCATGTCCCCATATCACTCAAACTCTTTATAAACTTTATTTTAAACGGCAGTAAGGTATTTAAGAGGGAAGCCCCATTGTGGATGGAACCATTCCCTGTTAGACGTCGGTTGTTCCCAGTATTGTCCTTTAAAATGTTGTGATGAATACCTCATGCACGTAGCTTTGTCTGCACGTTGCATAGTTTCCTAACTATAATTCCAGAATGGCATTCCTAGGTGGAAAGATTTTCAAGGCTTTTGGGATACTACTGCCAGATTTTTTCCAAAGGATCAGACCAAGAGGTGCTCAGATCTGAACCCAAGGGACGAGACCCACTCTGGTTTGTGTGTGCAAGGTGGGGCTGTTCCGCCACTTTGGGCAAGTCACCCCACTTCATTGCCTCCTGCTCGTGCAGGTGTGACCACTCACTGCCCAGTAATCCAAGAGCGAGTGTTCTCATATCTAGGCTTGCCAGGGCCACATTTCAGCTTCCAAAGTACACACTTCTTTAATTCCACCTTATGTGATCCTCCTTTCATGGAAAGGGATCAACAGTGGTTTTCTGGAAAATTTCTTGTCCCAACAGTCTAAAATGCTTTTTTGTAGCTGAGCTAGGAAAGGTTTGAATAAACATTGCTGACTTTAGGGAAGAAGTGCAAAAGGCACTCACGTGCTGGGTGTCCATGACGCGCGTGCTGGGAGCTGTGCTGGGAGTCATGTGTTTAGCATCTCATGTAATCCTCTCAAACGGCCTACACAGCGAGTTACACAGAACACGCTCCACAGGATGCTAGTATGTGTTCCTTGTGAAAAGAATTCTGTTGCTTGGAAAAGGCTGTGTTAATCAAAGTTAAAGGAATTCTTTTACAATTTTCTGTTTGCTTAGTCTAATGTTATTCGAAAATCCCCAAGGTGGGGACGTGATATTCAGCATCTGCCAAACTCACTTGACAATGAAACCCTTTCTCACACATCTCATGGGATTGATGTTCCAAAGAACACACTTTGACGGGATGCAGGACAGGTTAAGGAAGGCTTCCTGGAGGAGGTAGCACCTGAGCTGTGCAGTGGCTGCTTCCTTACACACACACACACACACACACACACACACACACACACACACACACATACACACACACGCAAGCACGCACACATAGGCACGCACACTGCAGTTTGCCCAAGGAAACAACAGCAATCACTTCTTTGCAGAACCCCAGAAATAAGCACAATCAGCAGCTCATGATTTATTTTAAAAAGTCAGATAAAACTAAAGGTCATTTGTGAGCTCCTCAAGGCCAGGGCCAGTATACTATTCTCACATGTAGTTTATAACCACAATTTTAAAATAGCAAATTTAATAAGTTTCAGAGAGAAAGACAAGACTGCTTATAAAGGAATCAGGTTAATTTCAGAATTCTCAGCAGGATTTCTAACCAGGAAGATAATGAAGAAATAGTCTAAGTGTTAAAGAAAACATTTAAACCTAGAATGCTATATCCAAGTAAACTATAATTTAAATGTGAGGACAAAACAAAGATATCTTCAGGCATCCAAAGCTAAAAAGACCTTTTTTGAAAACACTCTTGGGGGAAACATTCCAGTGGAAAGGGGGAGGGGACCAGGAGGAGGATACAAATACATAGGAAGTAAGGGTGGATTTATAACCTGACCAATTTGGCTATTA